GTATTTACACCTTCAGGTCTTGGTCGCGGTGGGCGCTGGTGTGGGAGTCACACCTTTCATCTCCTTGCTCTCCACTTTGCTGGCGGAACTCACCTCCGGCCGCTCTCACCGATTGGTCGAGGCACCACGCGCGAACCACTCGGCGCGGGAACCGCTGCGGGTCATCGGGTTTTGGATGGTTTTGGCTCGGCCGATCTCGGCAGGCTCACTTCTACTGGATGACACGCGATCCCACGGAGAGCCCGGGGGGTTGAAGCGGCCTGGAGCTGAAGCTATAGGATGAAGCGGCCCTTCTCGCGGCCAGTGTCGGGTGGTCGGGGGAGCTCTCTGGGAGCTTTGGAGGAATCACATGCTTTGCCAAGCCATAGCAGAGTTTCAAATAGTTTCAACATAGTCAAGGCTGGCAAACTGCACTGACTTCATGGCCTACCTGGGTACACAGGAAAGGTATCAATGCGAGTTTCTTTTTTCCATTCTTCAGGGTCACACGGGAGTGGTGATTTTCTTTCTTTGGACCGCCACAGGCCCCCAAAATGCAAGACATCAAGAGATTCCAAAGCTATTTGGGTACTTTGAGGGGCTTTGTGTCCACCTCTTTCGATGCAGGAGTTCATTTTCGCCTCCCGCCTGCTGCGGACCTGGCTGAGGCGCGCAAGAGGATCGCAATTGATCGTTCGCTTAGCCTGAGAGTATGTATATCAGAATGTTCAAATCAATGAATTGAAGTGGATTGTAGCTATATCTAAAAATGCTAGAGACATCTATAGGCTATAGACTATATTAACTTTGTGTTGTCAGCATTCCATTTTGACCTGCTAGCAAATCTTCGAGGCACGAGATCCTTCAGGCGAAGATCTTCATCCACCTCCACTGCACCGCCAAGGAGGTCCTGCAGAATCTGCCCGCGTTTCTCTTCCGGGAAGCCGATCCTTGGAGCAAGTCACCGAGGGTGGGCAGCCGGGCCAAACGGGAATCGGACTGATTCTCAGAATCCCGAAAGCTCAAGTAAGCTCAACGTGTTTTGTCACACAATTCCTTGGGCACTTGAAACCTGAGATACACTCCATTACACTCCCAAGAAGTGAGTTGAAGAACTGCCATCCTGTCTCTTCGTAAGTTCTGGGTGGCCAGTCATCTCATGATTTGCCCCTCAATACGTGGAGGTCGGTCCCAGTCTCTCAGTGGGGAGGACATCACACCGAGGTGAAGCGGCAATCGCAGGTGGACCGGCATCACTTCAAGCTCCATCTCGCACGATGGCTGGACAGCTCGGAGGTGCAGACGCCAGGCCACGGGCACGGCACACGGATCTGCACGGGGCACAGCCTTGGTGGGATCTGTATGTATATATATTATATAGGTGTTTTTGGTTTCTTTATGTTTTCTTTATGAAATGAAAGAACATCACCCCCTCCATGAAAAGAACCAATGCGACAAACACGCCATATATATATATAAATATATATTATGCATAGCTCTCCATGGTGGGGTCCGTGGGGGCCCCACAAAGGTGGTGAACAGGCAATTCCGCTTCCACGGGTTTGTGTTGCGCCGCGCCGCCTGTGGAGATGTGACGCGTTGCAGTGTTGTTGGCAAAAGCACCCGGGGCTGCAGCCTTGTTGGACCCTCCTGTTTTGAGTCTCGTTGTTGAATATCTTGGACATCTTTGGGCACATTGAGGAAGAATGACAAATCGTTTTATGGGAGGATCCCTGCAAACAACTTGCTTTGTCTCGTGCAAGTTGATTTCTTTGAAATTACTGTAAACTGCAATCTCTGTAAACAGTGTCATGTCTTGTTGATTTGTTGTCAAGTGGGAGAGTACAGAATCAGTTTCAAGCTTTTCCAGTTTGGGCCCACACATCAGCCACAAACAACGTCGCTGAACAGGCCCGCAATTCCCTTGGGCCTGGGCTGACGCTTGGCCGGCCTTCAGGCTGACCATGGTGTCCTGTAGAGCCAAACTAGTTTCGATTCGGAACATGCCGGAACCACATTGAGCAACCAATGACCCTCCGGTGAAAGGAGAAATCACTAATGATATTTGTATTAATTATGTTTGCGAATGGCTTTTGTGCCAACATGGGCAGGGATGCTTTCTGTGATGCACACCACGTTTTTCTTTACAGCACGAGAAGGTGTCGGCAAAGACAGCCTAAACGTGATCAGATCATGACGGCAGTGAGATGATTCATAAGTGTCAAAGGGATCGTGCTAGCTTGCCATTTGTGGCTAAATCCCGCCTGGCTCCCTAAGGAGGGTGGCCATGAAGACTTACTTTGGGTGCGCTGCCCCTCCTTCGAGTGCAAAGGCATTACCTTCAAGAGCTTCACTGGTGCAGGTCCGACAGACAGTCCAACATGATGAACACCAAGACATGAGATAGATCAAAACATACACATACACACACCGAAAACCAGGAACCATCATTTGGGAAATTGACCTTTTTGACATCGGTACTCAATGCGGCTCATTTAGGAGCGCTGCCACATGGAAAAAATACACCCTTCATGAAAAGCCGTCAATGCATCCCTCCTTTGTGCCTACCTGTCTGGTGAGGTGGTGCCGGACCGAGTCAATTCCGAGTCAACGCTTTAAAGCTGGCTAATATACTATTACCCCAGGGTGTACACGTTTGACTCCCCAAGGATGGTTCGATCTTACCATTGTTGCACTTACGTGCACTTGCGTACTTGGCAACTTGTTAGATATTGGCATTGTTGGATATGTTCGCATGTGAAAAGCCAACGTTTACTGGTGTTCTGACTTGGCAATTTTCTTCGATAGACGCTGGATTTTCCGGAGGGCATACTCCAATTACGGTAGAAAATCAAACAAGTTTTCCGGAAAAGAAGTGCACGCAGAGCTGCACGACTTCTGAATGGGCGTTTGAACACTTGTTCTTTTGAAGATGATCGTGAAATAGATAACTTTTTGTAGTCCACATGCGTCCACATGGCAATAGACCACTGGTGGGGCCCAACCAGCCAACCAGCCAGGCGGCACTTCATCCAACGACCCGGAGCTCCTGGTGGAGCCCCCTGAGCTGTTGCCGGTGGTGCTGGGCCGGCCGAACTTCCGCCGCGATGTGGCTGCCATTGGTGCTACGGCGAGAAGCGGCGGAAGTTGTGGTGACGGGTATCATTAGGTTCTGCCGGTGGTAGTGGTGGTTACCATAGCTGGTGGGTGGGTTGATGTGGGTTGTTTCGAATTACTCCCGAGTGCGTTGGGAGCCGCCAAGTTGGTTGTGCAGGTTGGAGGATGGTGGAAGGTTGGGTAGCCTCAATCTTGCTCCAAGTATTTTGGACTATAATTATATGGGACGTTTCGGAGGCCTTTGGGGGGAATCACGCTTTGATGGACCCTGGACCATTTTGCTGAACATCTCAGGGAAAGCCCGCCCAGACATGAACGTGCACGTCTACGTGTGCGGCAATGACGGTTTGGTTCATGACCTGCAATCCGTGTGCGAAAGCTGCGCCCGGGAGTCCTTAGCAAGGAAGCGCACGCCACTGCAGAAGTATGTTTTGCACTACGAGCGGTTTGGATGAGGAGTGGAGTTGACCAGAGTGTGGAGATGTGTGGAGGTAGAACATTTGCATGAATAGGGAGGAATAGGAATCCATTAATAATTGTTGATACCCTTCTGCGGACATGACCGAAAACACACGTTCCCAAAC